CACAAGTTCAAAGGAGCCTGGTCCATTGTGTGCAGTGGCCGTAAAACCCACTCGACCCTCAGGCTCTCTCTCGATGCACAAAGATATGGCCAACTGTTAAATATAATATCATACAAAACACCGACAATCCTTATTATGTCATCGAAAAGTCTGCACAGGGCAGACATTACACAGAGTTCGCAGAACCTATATTTTTCTGTATGCAGCATGTTCGTACACTAAAGGGGTTTCGGTAAAATCAACAGTTGTTCTTTTCGGCGGCCATTTTTTCTTCTCCATAATTGCACGAAATGGCTTGAGTGCAATATCCTACGCAGTTTAGAACTGTTGTAGTGGGGTGTTTTTTTACTGGAGATTCAAGCCTTGGCATGAGATCAAATAGATATTTTAAAGTCCCACTGCACTACTTGTAGCTACTTGCACCCTCTATATAGCAAACAATGCCTAATCGGTGCCTGGTTAGTTCCCTATGATCCTCTTTTTCTTATGTTAATTGAGAGCCGATTTGATGAGATAACCACCTGTCAGTGACCACGCTGGGTGGTCTAATCACTCCTGTAAACTAGTACAGATGGGCTTTAAGCTCTTGATTTAACTGTAAGGGGTTCTATGTGGCTATACTGTATTCAAATATTACTTATTCAAATATTACTTCTTCAAAGTGACATTTTGAATTCAATTCAATTCTTTATTCAACCAGTATTACAACAATTTACAATGAAAATATACAATAAAGTGGCTATAACCCCTTAGAAGCAGAAATCTGCTTGTAATCTGTGATAGTGAAGTGCATTCTCAGTGAGTAGCATTAAAACTACCATGTTAGCTTTATACACTGGGTTTTATGTTATAAGTGTCTTCATATAAAGCCCCACTGCACTACTTGTAGCTACTTGCTCCCTCTATATAGAAAACAATGCCTAAGAAGTGCCCATTGGTCCCCCATGATCCTCTTTTTTTAATGTTAATTGAGAGCTGAGTTGCTGAGATAACCACCTGTCAGTGACCACGCTGGGTGGTCTAATCATTTCTGGCCAAACTAGTACAGACTGGCTTTAAACGATCACCTATAGAATGATTGGTGAAGGTCTGTAAGGTTGGTTTGATACATTCTAGCTATACACAAATTATTTTTCAGGTGATAGGTACACTTTAAAGCCGGTCTGCACTAGTTTGGCCAGGGGGATTAGACCACCCAGCGTGGTCACTGACAGGTGGTTATCTCATCAAACCAGCTCTCAATTAACATAAGAAAAAGGGGACCATGGGGGACCAGCAGGCACCGATTAGGTATTGTATGCTCTATAGAGGGCGCAAGTAGTGCAGTGGGGCTTTAATAAAGCTTCAGCAAGACAGCAGTCTGCATTTGCCACTCTCGACCCAGGTGTAGAAGGTGAACAACTGGTTCTTACACAATCACTGCTACTGAACCTAACAAAAACAGGGACATAACTTCCGAAGCAACTTGAAAGCGATTGGAGACTCAATTCCATTATGCTATATGAGCTACAAAGTATGACTGCAGTTTAGATCCATGTGCCAAGCCAACATGATAAATGTTGCTGTTTTTTAAGCCTAAGCCTAAGGCATCCCACACTTCTGATTTGTTTTCTTTCTTATTGCTCACAGCTCTACGGGTCTGGGTTACATTTTAAAAAACTTCAAAATGATGGATTCGTGTTAGGTCGAAAACATTGCCACAATGAGTCTGTGTTGCATGAATGACGTTGCCACAATGGATCCGGTTACATTTTTTTTTAAACGCCACTGTGGGTCTATATTGCACAAAAAAAAACGATTCACCAGGTTAATTAATATCAAACCGGTGGCTGTAGAATCGTGTCAACATACATGTACAGTAAATTTAAAGCGGGACTGCACTACTTGTAGCTACTTGCGCCCTCTATACAGCAAAGAATGCCTAAGGGGTACCTTTTGATCCCCCATGGTCCCCTTTTTCTTATGTTAATTGAGAGCTGATTTGATGATGTAACCACCTGCCAGTGACCATGCAGGGAGGTCTAATCCCTCCTGGCCAAACAGGTGCAGATAGGCTTTAATATAGACCATGGCCTGAACAGCTCCAATTGATGGCGATCACAATTATGTACAAGAGATAGGAGACTGTAAGCTTGCGATTGATTTGGATCAATCGCAACTCTTTACAATACAGGGCCCAGTTTATATTTAGCATCTGGTAAAAGTAATTGGACTGCATAAACTTTATCAAATTATAATTATGTAGCACTTCACATCACCTACATAACAGACTGGACAATGTTGATTTCAAGCCCTGGCTCTCACCCTCCTTCTCTCACTCTCCTTCTCTCTCTCTCTTTCCCTCTCTCTCTCTCCCTCCTTCTCTTTCTCTCTCTCTCTCTCCTTCTCTTTTCTCTCCCTCTCTCTGACCCATCTCATTCTTTCTCTCTTTCTCTCCCTATTTCTCTCTCACCTATTTCATTCTTTCTCATTCTCTGTCATTCTTTCGCTCTATCTCTCTCTATATCTCTCTGTCTCTCCCTCCATCTCTCCCTCCTTTTTATTATTAGCATACAGCATGTAATGGGTCAACAAATATGAAGAGCATGAACAAAATACAACACCACCCCACCCCCTCCCAGCCCCCTACCATGCTGAATTCGGCTCCAGGTGCACCCTTCCGCATGAATTCAGTACACAAGGGTAAGGAATCCACCGCATTCAGCGCAAAACTATTCTTGACGAGTTGTCCCTTTAAGCCTTCATGAACGAGAAATTTCAGAAGTCGATAGGTCAAACATTGGCCTTGATTTCTATTAATAATTCAATTCACTGGAACACCCGTGGATAATTTGGATGAAACCTGCAATTCAATTTTTGCTGTCAACAGATGGCGGTATTGCAATATTGCCATGTTTCTGAGGACAAAGAAAAGCATTTTCATTTAAAAATGGCCAAGATGTTCACAAAGCCACAGCACAGGGTCAGAAAATACATGTTCCATCATGAAATAATTAATGTATATTTCAAGGCAAGGAACCGTGAATCCTCTATTCAAACTAGATTCTTGTTGTTGTTGTTGTTTGTTTGTTGTTGTTGTTGTCGTGTTGTTTTTTTTTTTTTTTTTTTGGGGGGGGGGTGGTTGTCACTTACTGGTACATGTTTCTCTAAGGGGTATGATAGAGTGATTTTTTTTCTTTACTTATTATTGTTTGTTTTGTTTTCTGATAACAATCTATTCTCATTGTTGTCTTTGGAGTAGGAAAAGGGCTTCTTTTAGAACACATCAGAGGAATCCAATCAGGAGGGAAATTATAAAAGGTGAAATTCAAAGTATTACCAAAAAAATGTACTTTCTCAATAGTTTCTGAATCATTACTAAGCAAATAATCACAGAACTCATACATGCATATTCTGTTAAACTTTTTTTTTGACGCCGCTCACATAGAAAACGTTCAACTCGAACCTTAGATTGCATTTCCTGTTCTACAGGTAGAATGCATGAATACCATGACGATTCCTTGCAGCTCTGATTGTTTTTTCGCTGTGCATTTGTTCTTTTTCTATAATTTCTTATTCCTGTTTTATTGTCGTTTTCCCCAAAATGGACTTTGTGATCATAACAGGGTTCTCAACTTTTCATGAAATATAGATCAACCTTATTCTTCCCAAATTCTTTGCTCGTTTGATACTTTCAAAAATTCACCACACTTTTTTCAACCTTTTTCCAGTTTGAAACATCATTAGTATTGTATTTAAAGTTAGTGGTTACCTTACATTTTATATTCCTGATTTATTGTCATCTTTTTGTAAGAATTACAAAAAATAGGACTTTGTAGTAAGAACAGAGTTCCCTGCATTTCATGAAAATAGATTTACCGATTCATCCCTGATGTTTCCTGTGTGAAATTCAAAATTCCACCACAATTTGTTCAACCTATTTCCAGCTTGAACATCTTCAGTGTTTGAAATTAGAAGTTACCATACCCCCACCCCCCCCCCCCCCCCTCTCTCTCTCTCTCTCTCTCTCTCTCTCTCAAGTCTACAGAGAGAAAGAGGGGTATTTCCTTAATAATATTAAGCTAACCAGACAACTGATTATGCTGTTTGGACAAATAAGAGGGCCCAAGCACTTTCTTTGGGGGCTAATAAAATTGGCCTGATTTTCAGTGAATTTCAGTGAATTTTATCAAATTCCATGATTGTTCCTTCACTGGAATAAAAGAAAACTAATTTTGCAGGTTAACCAAATTTCAAGGGTAGCTGGGAAATCTGAAAGCAAGAATTTGATTTGGTTAATTTGATTAAATCTTTGGATCACCAAATCATCTGTACAACACATGCTCCTGCAATAATTTCTCCACAGTAAATTTCCAACACTAATCAAAGTACAGTCAAAACTGTCTATAGCAACTGCGCAAGGGAAACACAAAAAGTGGCCTTTGTAGACAAGTTCCTTTAGTACATGATTCAATGAGAAACCATTTTCAAGGGAAACAACAAATGTGGCCCTTGTAGGCAGGTGGTCTTTGTAGACAGGTGATCACTAAAGCAGGTTTGACTGTACCAACTTCAACCCTAGATGTAACACTATACTTACTCCCTATCCCTAACCCTAACCCTAATCCTTACCATTAACCCTAAACCCTAACCTAAAACCCAATTGCCACCCCAAGCCTATAATAAAATCAGAAACTGTCCAACACATGAAAACTTTAACGATCTGTAACAAGAGCAGGGTTTTTTTTAGTAGGAAACTTTAGCGGATCGCACAATGTCAGTGTTGTTTCCTTTGTGATTCGTTTTTTTTTGCGGTACAAAACTTTCTCAAACTAAACCGCAAGAAGAGTTTGTGAAAAAATTTCGGGAACCCTCTAGTTTTGGGTTTTACAGTAAACCTTTTCTGTTTAACAAACGTTACCATTGTCGTTGTGTGACCGCAAGAAGAGTTTGTGAAAAAATTTCGGGAACCCTCTAGTTTTGGGTTTTACAGTAAACCTTTTCTGTTTAACAAACGTTACCATTGTCATTGTGTGAAGCAAGAAGAGACAGTGGGTCGCAGCCTACCTCCCTCTCTGGCCCTTGTTGACCAGTTGCTGCTATGCCTTCAGTTGCTTGCGTTGGGTCAGAAGCTTTGGCCTCCTGTCCTTCAGCTGCAGATGAGGATTTGCCTTGTTGTTCATCATCGGTTTTTCTCCTTTTTGGCGGGACTTGGTCTGAGTCACTTGGAACGGCATCTCCCTGAGGTTATGTATTTGAATGAGGATGAAGATGATGATGTTGATGATGATGATGATGATGATGATGATGATGATGATGATGATGATGATGATAATTATGTTGATAATTATGATAATGATGATATTAATGATGATAATGATGATGATGATGATGAAGATGATGGTGATCGAAATGATGATGGTGATGTTGGTGATGATGGTGACGATGATGATGAAAATGAAGATGATGATGATGATGAAGATGATGATGATGATGATGACGATGATGATGATGATAATGATGATGGTGATGATAATAAGACGAAGAAAAAGAAGAACACAAAATAATAACTGTTTCTTAAACAGCACTAAACCCTTACAACGTAACTGAAAAAAGCGCTTTAAATACACTACCTGGATTCTACACCTTAATCCACTGCACGTTCCTTTACTCAAGGACTCAAGTGCTGTGTCGGGTATTGAACACGCGACTTTTGCATTCCCAGTCGAGTGATTAAACCACTAGGTCATGACACCTCTATACCACTACCATCGGAGAGTGTCTAGGAAAATTTTCTTCCCAGGTAAGGTAAGGAACACCAAATTACCTAAGCCTTGAACTTAAGCATAAGCCAGTGAAGTTCTGAGTGTTGATAGCAACAGAATCTTCAGTGCAGATAAGGGGAGAGTTTCACAAAGACTAAGATTGACTTTAAGTTGAACTTAACTATGGCAGGCCTTTCATGCCAATAGTTCCTCTAACCGTTCCTGGCATTGGTTTCTCAAGGGACGTACAAATCGTGGTCACAAATCTACAGAATTTACCTTTTTGATAGTTCATTATTGAAGGAAAAAAATATTATCTAAAGATCATAATTAAGAGAACAATGGTGAGAGCAACTAGTACAGAGATGCTAACCTCTTGACACAAAAAAACAGACTGAGTATCCAAAAAAAAATCAGATTTTGGAGAGAAAAATCAGATTTTCACGAAAACTCAACACTACCAATGGCCGGTTGGCCCCGGGCCAGTAAACTTTCAGAAAAATGTGATACTGGTACGTACAGTCAAGTAAAATGTTTGCTCTTTCATTAAAATTTTAAAAGAAAATTGTAAGGCAAAGTTTTTGTTGGGGCTGCGGGGGTTTACTTGTTCATGTTTTAATGCAATTCCGTGGTTTTTATGGGTATTTTAAAAAAAAAAATCGTATTTTAAGAGGTGATATCATATTATCGTATTCCACTCTTATTATCGTACTAAATACAATTAAATCGTACTGGTTGGCACCTCTGCTAGTAGCATGAACAGCCTGCCATAGTTAAGTCCAACTTAAAGTTGATCTTAGTCTTCATGAAACACCCCCAGGACAATTCCACGCAATGTGCCCCATGTGGTACATGACTTTCATCCTTCTATTGCATCTAAAAATAGCTAGGGCCTTAAAAATAAAATGTTGTATTGCCCTTAGCGACGAACAAAAAATCTTGAATTCTATGGTCGGCTTTTCAAAAAAGTTTTTTTTTACCGTCTTTTAGAGAAGAAAAAAAATTAAAACATTAAAAACTGAAAAATATTAGGCCTAATGATCACATCAAGACATTTTTTTTATTTCTAAATTTTAATTGAATATCAGAAAAGGGTGTATGGCACAGATCGTGCAGAATCGCATAACTGTAAAGTTGTGGTAAATATACTTACCTCGTTACCTCCACCATATTCTTTTGCCAGAGCCTCCATCATCAGCCTTTTATGCCGGACCTTTTCCCCACCTCTCTTACCCCGATGTGTTTTTCGCTTCATTTTCCTGCAGTGAGAAAAATGTAATCATGACGATGATTGTAAATCAATCCCTTATCGATTCCATTGTTGATTTAAAGGGAAATCCAACCTTAATAGTAAATTACTTTAAAAGAAAGCAGAAAAATCAGAGAAGCTGATTAGTGATAGTTTGAACGAAATTGGACAAAAAATGAAAAAGTTAAGAAATTTTCAAAGTTGTAATCATAATACATATGAGCACCTCAAATTGGCTGAATCGGCAGTGTCACTGTGACAAAATGCCGGATAAATCACAGAAATTTTTTAGTCCATTTCTAATGTAGTACATTGAGCGGTTCTTGAATAAGAAGGATTTTAATTCTACGTGATCATTACAGTCTCTCAATTGCAACTTGGTATAAAATTATAATGACTAACTTAATTTATAATCAATAACCATTGGGGGGGGGGGATCTTGAAGAGATTTTGAGAGTGGGGGTCTTGATTCCCTCAATCCCCTCTCTAGAACAGCTACTGTTTAAGAAAGATCATCTCATTTAATAATCTTGAAAACTCACTACCATATCAATGCTTTTCAGTGGAAGGGAAGATTTTGTGAAATGGCCAATTTCATACAAGTCAATAAAGAGTTTTCAATTTTCCAATATCCAGATATTTCATCACATAGCCCTTGGGGAGTGTTTCACAAAGACTAAGATCGATTTTAATTTGGACTTAACTGTTTGCTCTCACCATTTACTGGCATTGGTCTCTCAAGGGACGTACAAATCGTGGTCACAAATCTACAAAATTTAAATATTTTGATAGTTCGTTATTGAAAGAAAAAATATTTTCTAAAGATCATAATGGTGAGAGCAAACACTGGCATGAACAGCCTGCCATGGTTACATGTAAGTCCAACCTAAAGTCGATCTTAGACTTTGTGAAACACCCTCCCCCCCCCCCTGATGTGATCCTCTGTACTTTACTCACCCAAAGTGTTTGGTCTCCAGGACATTGCCCTGCTCCTCTCTCTGCCCAATCTTCACACCTTTCTTGGCGATGTTTTCAGCTGTGGGAAAGTTTCTATAAATAAAGCAATGAGAAATCAATGGTCCCGAGTCCTGCAGAATGGAACTTCAAGTCAATGTCTAAAATTGATTTTAAAGTCATGCAAGTCCTTCTAAAGCAAATTGAGAATGCTAATATATGGCCTCCTTTTGGCAGAAGAGCTACGGATTATTCATAGCATGTACATGTAATGCCTGTCAAGTGTTAGACTCTGAGCAGACAGGGCCCACAGGGAATGGTTACAATGAGTTACTTCACTTCATTGTAAGATAAAGCTTTGTTCTAGAAGAGAAGAAGACATTGGAATGAAAGTTATTCATGTTGATGCCTGTCAGATTCATGTTTAAAACAAAATTAACATTTAAAGGTAATACAAAGTTTTGGTATGGGGTCATGAACTAAACATATTTGAAGCATACATGCGATTTTACAACATTCAATGATTGTTGTAGTGGTTGAAATTGATTCTAAAAGTGATGAAATCGTAAATAATAAACTCTATATGTTGTATAGCGCCCTCTCAAGACTGATATTACTTTAGCTTTGAAACAATGTTTCTTGACTACAATCGACCGATTCGCTATTCCCGTTTGGAAATTATATCAGAACTGCATATTGTGAGATTTCCATGGTCGCAGCTACCATGGAATGGCCTTAGGTACTGTTTCATTGAAACAGCAGTTTCTTTAATCATTTTTCTTGATCTGTTTTTTTGTTTTGTTTGAAACTTGAAGACACCGTAACATGAGTTTTTTTGCAGACACATTACGTTCCAGAGAAAGTCAAAGTACGAGTATTCCGGTGGGACGGAAAGTCCCCAAATTTGTCCTTTTACGTAGAGTTTACCGCCGCCCATAGAGTAAGTTTAAATTATGAAATACTCAATACTTGTTTAATGAAGGATAAATATGTGTAGATTAATTCAATGTTGAGAAATAAACTGTGCAAGATTTTGTGTCAACGTGTCAGATTAATTTGGTATGTGCGTACAGTTTCAAATAGGGCATTGTGCGCACTGTTAAGACTTTACGTCTATCGGTCAAGTGAAAGTTGTTGTTTATTTCGAAAAGCCGTAAATTCAGTGGAAATTGTAATTTAACGCAGAGACACAAAGTATTGCACAGATATAGTTAGAAGTGAGTGTAAATGGAGTGAGATATTTGATTATAGCTTATTTACATAAAAATGATGAAAACCAAGATTGGTTTTAAGAGTAAGAGTTAATTTCACCAGGCCATGCATGAAATCTGGCTTGCAAAAAGTAGGTCACTGCTATTAGGGTCATTCACAAAGTGAAGTGTCTAGGACCTGATATTTAGTTTGTAAAAATACTGCATGCATATTGAACTTTGGTTGCTCATATGAACAAAGAACTTGGGTTTATTTGGAGAAAGTAAACATGTACGTATAACAGGCAATTTATGCAAGTGTATGAATTAAAAGGTTTAGTCTTGGCAAATTAAAGAATGCCATGCTATTTGTATAAATTCATAAAAGAAAACACTTAATGAGTGCGCATAAATTGTATGCAAATTTCTAAAGAATAATTTGGTCATTTGGTTGTATCAAAAGTAAAGGAGATTTACAAGTTTGATAAATTCTCATTTTGGCTGAGTTTGAAAATCAGCAACAGTTATTTAGCAAGGTGGATTGAATGCAAAGGAAGTCATGTTTGCTTCTGCGCATAATTATTTAGGTCAGTTGTGAAAGTCACTTTGACAGGTGTATGTGACAAGCTATTGGATTAAGGCGTTGCATGTATATGCACATGCTTGTGCTCTGATCATCATGGAGTTAATTTTTGGTTGAGATTTTTGGCAAGACATACAGTGAACCATTCAATGAAATATCTTGTGTGTAACTCTATGACTGAATATCTGAATGCTAACACCGGATTTTCTATCTGTATCTTCTTTTTGATTACAGATTGAATAAAACAGTTATGCAATTTACAAGCGGCGTCCGGTCTCATTTATCGAATGATCCAGGTACTATTTGAAATATTTGAAATTTACTGGGAGCACCGGTAAGTGTTTGATTATTCAATTTCTCGAAAGCAAAAGTATTTTTAGAGCCTAAATTTTCCAGTGCTTATTATACATCCACAGGGGCATCCAAATATATCAAAAGAGTAAAGAATTACAGTTCATCCAATTTTCAAAATCTCCCAAAACTTTATATTTGCAAACCCGTTGGCCTATCAAGAAACACCCTCTCGTCTCTCAAATATAGTCTTCAGGTGAGGGAAAAGTGAGATATTGACTTTACCATATATGGGGAATGGATGAAAATTCTTAAGCATTACATAACGCCTGTTGGTAATAAAACTGAAGGTTAAATACTGATGTCTGACAACACCTGTTTATATCAGGTAAACACCACAGAACGGTGTCTGTCAAATTCACCATACATGTAGGCGCGTCTTCATCATCTCGAGATAAATAGCCCGCTATTTCTGATTTGGGAAATAATCCCGAAGGAAACAAATCGCATCTTCACTATCTCGAGATTCGACCTCGAAACTTGAAACTCGACTTTGAGAAATTAGCTCAAGATATTTTGCTCAGCGTTAGCGCGTATTGTGAATCTTTGGTCTAGTGAAGACGAACAGGACAAATAGCTGGACATTTTGCCAAATAGTGGGATATTTTGCAAACTATCCCAAGATATCTTGGGATGACAATCCTGACCAAATATCCTTTTAATTGCTACTTCGGTCTGATGAAGACGCAAATTAGCTGGATAGTTTGCGATCGGGATAGTTAAAATAGCTGGATATTTGGCAATCTCGAGATAGTGAAGACAGGCTTCATGAGAACCCACTCCTATGCGTCTTTCTTATTCTGTCTGTTTGGAACCACAAGGGCATATTACTCATAACAAAGACTTTAATACCGCCCCTGTAGTTCAACTGACCATTTCTCTGTTGTAGTCCAAGTGCATTGGGAAATACTACTTCAGCTTGAACCTGGGGGGGGGGGGGGGTGTTCCACAAAGATTCTAAGTCAAACTTTACTCTAAGTTGGACTTAAAAATTATGGAGAGCCATTTGTAGCCTTGAAATAAAATATATTCAAAAGCAAAAATTCAAGTATTTTAGACTTTTCATAAATTCCATATTAAGGACATGAAATCTCCTTGATAATAGAAAATATGAATGATTTGAATCAACATTTCATGCCTTTTAGTATAACTTTTACAAAATATGTTCATACATGTAGATGCGAACGGCTTTCCATAATTGTGAAGTCCAACTGTAGAGATAAGTTCAACTTAGGATCTTTGTGAAACACCTCCCTGGACAGATAAATCCAGGGGCAGGTGACACGGATACCCATAAAACTACAGCACACTCACCTCTTTCTCTCATTCCTCCATTTCTGGATTTCATCGGGCGTGTCCAGCCATTTGATCTTCCTTGACCCAGGGCCGTGGTGCAGCTTGTGGTGCAGCTTGACCACCTTGGGATGTCCAACAAACCTACAATCTTTCTCCTCGCACTGACCACCCGGAAGAAAATTAAGAAGAAAAATCAATTAGTCTTCTCTTTATAGTCCCAGGTTGTTCCTAAATACTAAATACATTTATGTTTCTATGCAACAGACCTAATCCGACTCTCCTCAAGCATGAACAACTTAATATTTTCACATTAGCAAGAACTAAGGCTGCGACGGGTAGTCGAATGCTCGAGTACCCGCACGGTTGACAACTACTCGGGTACGAGAAATCGTACCCGAATATTTGGCCGCAAAAAAAAAAAAAAAAATGTCCAGGCCCACGGTTACCCGTGCCAGGGGGAGCGGCGACTGCTGGCATGGTACCGTCGGTAAAAATGTTTCCAAACTCAAGCACTGTCAAACTCACCTTTCAGAAACTGGGACCAAATGTCCAGATTTCTGTTTGGACTTGGAGGAAAATGGATTATTCTGCCATCTTTGGTTTTTAAAACAGCATTGTTTACTGTTATTATTCTTATTAAATCGGCACCTTCAACTGCAAATCAAAGTAAAATTGCATGCGTTTTCGGCGAGGGACCTGGGAAACTGCCGAGTGTTATGGTAGTGGCAAAAAAATCAAAAAAATCAAAAAATCAAAAAAAAAAAAAAAAAAATTCAAAAAAATTCAAAAAAATTCAAAAAAATTATAAAAAAACATGGCGTCCGAATATTCGAGTATTTGCTTGTGAGCCTGGGAGTGTACTCGGGTACCTCATTACACTGTTTTGCACAGCCTTAGCAAGAACCGAGGTAAGTGGTCATTTGTTTGGTGTCCGACACATCGCCAAATATTGTGTCATTTCACTTCACAAATGATCTTATCTTAACTTTATAATTAAGCACTCTTAACTTTCATAAGACAATAATCAGATATAATAAAACCTGAGAAAGTGGTCAGTAAATAGGATTTAAAAAAGCTTAAACCTGCTCAATTATGACCGTTTTGACAAGCTTGACCCCTGACCTGACCTGACCCCTGACCTCTGATATTACCTTGACATGTTCAGCTATGTGACTCTTGAGTTCCTCATCTGACTGAAAACCTCGGTCACATACGTCACAGTAATGGGAGTAGTTGATTTCCTTCGGCGCTTTGGCTTTCTTGTTTTTCTTTTTCCCGCCTCCCCCTTGCTGAAACACAAAGAGAGAGACGCAAGCAAAAGATTTTTGTTGTAACTCAAATTTTACTGGAACCGGGTGTAATCAAAGACAATAGTCTACATATTAAAGAGGAACTGGAAGGCAGTATTGATGAGAAGTGAGAACAATATGAAATAAGTAAAAATTAAGAACTTTGATAGTTTGATAGGCATTTCAATTGAAGGGCTTGAATAGTCGTGCAGTTGCCAACTTCTGGCAAGATCGACCAGACCTACATTGTACTAGTTGTAGTTCAAAAGCTTCGGTTTCTGATATCGATGGTGACTTTTATCTACCTGGCCCTGAATCCACTTCCTTTTTTGTCAATTTTTTTTTTTCGATTTTTTTTTTTTCTGCTTCTTCTTGCACTTTTTCTTGAAAGTTCAGTTCTGCCACTTCTGGCTCTTCTCCTCCTCCTTCCTGTTTTGTGTTTCTCTCTCTCTCTCTCTCTTTCTCTCTCTCTCTCTTGTTATTAAAGTTACTTTACTTGTTTAGTATGTACTCTTCCTCTATTTTCTTTTCTTTTTTCTTTTAGTCTACTTTCTTTCATTCTAGATTACCGTCTAGACCTAGATCTACTTCAAGTTCCATATGTGTAACGAATCGTGCACCTGGATCTCGTTTGACAAAAGTTGGTTAAAGAAACGGAACCCAAATTAAGGCTTTTATATGATTACTTTTAGTTTTACTGTAGGCCTAGATCTACTAGTGTACTAGCTCGTAGTCGTACCTGTTCAAAGGAATGTCCACCACCTCCATGTCCACCTCGTCCACGACCACCTCGTCCACGACCACGTCCACCACGTTTCATGTTGAAACCGGAATTATTGTCCCTATTATTAGCATTAAAATTGTTGTAATCGTTTGGCCCGTTTGTCGGCCTGTGAAACCTTGGAGGTGAGAACTGCCCTTCAAATCCTCCCCGGGTGGCCCGTGCCCGTGCGCTGCCATCGGGAACCCATCATGCCTGCCTCCCATCCCACCCCGATAGGGTGGTCGTGGTCCCCGCTGGAAGAAAGGTTCTGGTGGCATTCCGTGTCCATGTGGCCCGGGAAATCTTGCTCCTTCGTGATGAAAATCTGGAAATTGCTGGGGTCCTGGGAATCCTCTGGGTCCCTGCATAAATTGTCCATCATTGCCTGGATGTCTCGGCCCATAATTAGGGCCGTGAAATTGGTGAGGAGGAAATCTCGGCATTGTTTACAAATTGTTCCTCGTGCAGAATAAAGCGTGTATGAATATCTCACTGAAGATATCTCTCACTCCACGTTTGTACGGTCAGTGAGCTGTGTATGGTAGACTCGAAGATAAAACTAATACTCAAACACAGCATTGTCGTTTAAGTAAGGGTGTTGTAACTATATAGTTTGTCCTTTATTGTTGTGATTTGTTTTAATCTCCTTGGTTGATGCTGCATTTTGTTTTACTTGTCAGAGATTTTGTAAAAGAAAGATACCATGAAAATGCTATGTACCCTCCCCCCCTCCCATTTTCGGTTGACATAAAATGTCCATTGGGTCGCCCCCCGGAGGGGGGGGGGGGGGGGGAGTACTCAAATTTAGTTTGAACAGGGGTGTGCCGCTCAAGCCTCGAAACCCCTATCCATTTGTAAGGGTCATTTTGGCAGACTTTTCTCGAAATATAAGGCTGTCTAATTCCACATATCGTCCTTGTTTTCACGAAGTGACGGTAGTGAGGAAAATCGTCACACAAAGTGAATGCAATTTTTTTCACTACCGTCACTTCGTGAAAACAGCGACGATATATAATACGATTTATTTGAACACTGGTTTACTAATAATTGGTCGGGATTATAACTAGCCTAAGAGTCGCCGTGGAAATCCTTCTTTAAAATATTGTTGTCCTTTACAATCTCCAATTTCAAAGGAAGACAGATTACTCAACGTGAAAGAACCTTACTCAAAACAATATTGGGAACAATTAATTTATTACTAAATCGCCCCTTAACATGTAATCTCTTGGAGAGAAAAAAATTGTCCATATGCATATCCAGATCAAGGAGCCCTTCATCTTCTAAAGAAAAGAAAAAGAAAAAAATAATGACTTCAATTAAGGGCTATATTCAGAAGTAAATTATCAAAATCATATTCCTGAGAAGTTTATTCAAGTTTTAAAAAACAGGCTGGTATTCTCAACTGCCCCCCCCCCCCTTAGAAAAGCTGGATAAATCTGAAGAAATTCTGGCTTAACCGAATCTAGGAGAGCGTCAAAACTAAAAATCTAAGCTAAGGGATTTTGTGGCGGTCCTGGTATATCAAAATAGTATATCGAAATATGGTGCCGAAAAAAATTGGAGCTTCAAATAAAAATGTTGAAATGTTCAAAATAAGTTGAGCCCCAAAACTAAAACCTAAAAAAAAAACTTACAAAAGATCCTCACAAAGTTGAAAAGTGCCATTTTTAATTTCCAACGGGTGCCGTTTCCACATTTTAAGAGTGCCCCTTACAACCTCGGATAAAGCCCCTATTTAATTCTGGGAGGTGTCCCTTCTACTTTGAAAAGTGTTAATTTTCCTGAGTAATTAGTACCCCTTTTCATCTTTGATGTGTGCCTCGATTTTCACAATTTTGAAACAACAGACTCACGTTCGGGGATATTTTTTGTTAAAAATGGGACCCATGCTTAGGGATTTTGTGTGAAAAAGTGACCCGTTAGTCAGAGCGGCACACCCCGTATGTCTTATGAGTCTCCCCCCCCCCCCCCCACCCCACCCCCTGGGTAGTCTAAACAGTTTAGATGTGCTATGGCCCATCAGGTTGGCCCAGTGATCGAGGGACGCGTGACGCAGAATGGGTGAAATGATTTATACATTACGTGATTGGCCTAAACTTTTAGCCAATCAGAAACTTGGGAAAAAGCCGATACTTCACCCGCATCAAAATCCTTGATTTGAGTTCGTTGTTCATCACCCGCCACCCGTAGCTAGCCCACACGGCCTTATTACGGCCAAGTAAAATAGTCGGTAATTTCAGTTTGATTGATAATGAGCCGTCGTTTCGGAAACTTGAAAGTTGAAAGTGAAATGAAAATCGAAGGCAAGAATCCATTCAAATGGCATCTAAAAATACGGATATATTCATCGTTGATGGAGGTCTGAGCACAGAGCTGATAAGACTTGGTTTCCCGGTTGACCTGGTGAGTTAACATATATTTTTGATAGTTTTGGGGGGAATTTATCAGTTTTCTCGCTGCTAACGATACGGGATAGGCCTATACCGGTACCTCGGCCTCGGGGCGGCGTTCGGTGGAGCACACCCACCACTGCCCCTGGCCCGTATCGGTTGCGGCAGGGCCAGAGCCTATACCTTGACTTGAGTCATGAGACTGTGTGTCGGGCATTTACTGCGCTGCACCTGTTCAAAATGAACTCCAAATTTATCGGAATCAGGATTTAAATTAATATAATTCCCTAGACTAGAGTCTAGATTATTAGATCTAGATCTAGAGTCTAGAATCTATATTAAAGGTAAAGACCAGTAATGGTCATGCGATTGCATTGTGAAAGAAACGTTGTGGAATCGATCAGAAAAGGTTGATCATCTAGCATCTAGCATCTGCAAGGTTCTGGAATCATCAAAATGATAAGAAATTTGGCCCATTCTTCGTAAAGTTACAAGCACTATACACAGAAAGATGTATATGGGACTACCCTATCTCTCTCACCAGACCATGAGAGAATTAAATTTACCAAATATATGAATTAGTAGGCGGTTTCCCGGCAAATTTTTTATCATCATGTATTAGTCAAAACATATTCTTTCACATGATTGGTAATGAGAGCTTCCATTTCATTTGTTGAAATTGGGGCGTTGCCGATACTGGTCTTTACCTTTAATACATGATTCAGGTAGATCTAGATCTACTCTCCAATTAGCAACTGTTGCATGTTGTCTAATGATAATCTGCTACAATTAGGCCTACAAAACAAACTTGTATACTACTAGACCTCTACATCTCTGGAGTCTAATTCAAAGTTTGCAAGTTGAAAATAATAATCTTTTTTGGACTCTAAAGTTTTAGACTTCAGTAAGACCGAAATATCAGGCTGTTTCGTTCAGGGACATGTTCTGCTAGGGCTACGTCTTGCTACATCTCTTGGAGCATGGAGGAGAGCATTAAACTTTTTTTTGTTTTGGTTTTTGTTTTGTTTAACTCCTCCAACTCCAAGTCCAAGAAAGTCTCTGGAAAATAATTTTTAAATAAAAAAGAGCTTTATTTCATCTCCCCATAACCCATGAAAATCTAAAAAAAGACCAACCAAGTATTGAAGAAGCTAAAATAATAAAAAAAAATTGTGAGAACCGACTGTTATTATTCGTATACATGTAACAGCGTTGGAATATCCAAGATCTATTGTCATAGTATTTGAATCAGTAAAATGTTATTACTTTGCACAATTTGCAGAAAATGTTGGTACTATTGTGCTTAAAAGTTTTATAGACTACATCTGATTCTGCACTGCCAGACTTCTACCAAGGGATAAGAGTAAGGACTTGCCCTTGATCCTACTATAAAATTAATAAAATGCATGATGTCCCCCCCCCCCCCCCCCCCCCCCCCCCCCTCCCTCTCCCTCTCTCTCTCTCTCTCTCTCTCTCTCTCTCTTCATGCTTTGCTCATTTGCACTAATTTGACCATAATCTTCTCTGAGTTTATTACTCTTCCTTGGTAATCTGTTTTTCATGTTTCATCATTTTGAATTTATTGTTTTCACCTTAGACTGACAAGGATCCCCTGTGGACATCGACATATCTTTTGAAAAATCATAATGCACTCCGGAAAGCGCATCTCAGGTAGGTTTTCCTGGACTTCAAATCAACACTTTTCCAAAGATTTGTGGGTATAATGATTATAATTTTGAAACAGGGATTAATTTTAAGAACACTTCTTGGCTCATTGTCTTCGCTTCATGCATTTTAATCTATACATCAGCATCAGAAATTGTTGTGTTGTTTTGCACTTAGTTTTTTAAAGGTCTTTAGTTCTTCGTTCTGACTTGAGAATACAGTTAATTGTAGTATTTTGTCAAGAAAACAATGCTCCAATATGTTGTTTCAAAAAATTTAACTATTTGATTAAAATAAAATGATTGTACTCGGATAATAACAATTTTGAAAAGACTTATATTCATTTTTGTTTAATTGTAGTTTCCTTGAACATGGTGCTGATGTCATCTTAACAGGTACTTACCAGGTAAATTCATTTCTTTCTTTTTCTTTAAAAAAAACATATTGAAAAGTGGTATCTTACTTACTCTTCTAAATGAAGTTTATTAAATGTTTAGAGTTTATTTTTTCCGTATTTAAAATCAAAAGACTACTTTGGCAAATGATAAAAATGTTTTTTCTCTTTTTACATTTTATCCAAGTTATAGTTTAACTGTTAAGAAATTACCTGCGAAAAACAGACTCCTGAATTAAAAACAGAAGAAAATGAAATAAGAATTTATTGACAGATCTACATGTATGTCTTCATTTTGTCTGTGCACTTGCATCTTAACAGATTATAAGAGGCAGATTTTTCCAATGTTATTTTTCCTTCCCCCCCCCCCTTATTTCTTTTGAATAGTTTAATTGCTCATTTTAGCTCTTTTTCTTTTGATAATTTGGAATTGTACCTTTACACAACAACAAAGTGATGATGGCATTGAGTTGTTGCTGTTTGATTGTTCCTCCTGCAGGCCAGTTTAGAGTTGTTTGAGAAGGCAGCAGGGATAGGAGCAGAGGAATTCAGCAAGCTGATTCAAATGGCATGTGACATCGCGAGGCAGGCAGTGGAGGAATTCTGGGAGAAACAATCTCAACCTGGTACTTAATTTATGGAAGAAGGAAGGTCTTTGAAATGATTTTTTTTTTTGTGTGTGTGTGTGTGTGTGTGTGTTATCTATTTTTTTGTTTGTCATTTGATCATGTTGATAAACAAACAAAAAATCAGCATATGAACTTAAAACAGGTTGACATTATTATCCTTTTGTATTGTATATCATAAGGAGAAGGCCAGAAATGTCACCCTTCTGACACCCTTCTGGCTCTCAGCAGATGATATATGACAATGTACATTATTGAAACATGATGATACATATACATAAGAATAATGATAGTGATAATAATTTCAATAATAATAATTAAAAAATTATTCATAAAAATAAGAATAATAATGAGTAAATAAATAAATGAATACATGATTTATAAGATGCCAATTTTAAAAAAGAGATGCGAAGGTAATGGGTCCATTCCCC